AAATAATATATTATAAATAATATAAATATGTAAATATATAATAAATAAAGTTTTATATATTATGAAAAGTTTTATATTATAAAATTGTTCACTATGGCGCCGCCCCTCGGATTTTTCTGTAATTTTAGAAGTTTGTATACTTTCATGCGTAGATATTCCAAGAAGGAAAATCGTCGATTTTATGTCGGTAAGTTAGAAAGTGATGATTTAATCACATTTTACACTGCGCAAGCTCATCAATATTATCATTTATGTATTAATGACATCAGTTCAGTATTATAAATTAATTATAATTAAATTATAATTAAAGAAGATTTACAACTTAATTATTGTGTTAAAAAAATTCGTATATTAATTAATTAAAACAAAAAAAAATACAGATATCCATTTTAAATCATAAACTGTAATTTTAATTATAGCAGGAGATAATTCGTGATTTAAAATGTGTATTTGCATATTTGTTTGTTTTAATTAATTAAAAACACGAATTTTTTTATATATAATTAAGTTGTTGTTTTCTTAATATTTATTTTAGTATTATTTATACATAAATGACAACATTAAGTTAAAAAGGTATTTTAATTATATTTAATTCATGAGAGAATGTAAAATATCATTAAATTATTATTTTCCAACTTATCGACGTCAAAAAAATTTGATTTGAGCGACGACTTTTGTTCTCAGAATATACTCCACGCATGAAAATACATAAATTTACAAAATTATACTCATACTAAACATTTACTGCATTTTTACGTCATGGAATTAAATGGCACAAGCCCAACACATAAATAAACATTAAAAATTTTTTTTTGTAATTACAGTTTTTGGACGCTGAATCTTCACGTATATTTTAAAATTTAGTAAGCGACCTAAATAAAAAAGGAAGAACAATATTTCTATGAACATTAAATTATTTTTATAAACATTAAAATGCTTTGTTGTCGAAATATTGAACACACATAAATACAGTCAAATTAAATAATTTTTATTTTTTATTTCAAGAAAAAAATCTAATCTAATACTCAGTCATTATTTCAAATTTATTTTTATCAATTATTTCGATAGTTAAGCATTTACAATATAATATTTACATAATGTTTGTTTTCCTTTTTACGCAGAACTATATAATCACAAAATTTTTAAATATGATTCACTTTATACATTTACATGTTTGGTTCATAAATTATTCATAAATCGTGAAAAAATTTACAAAATGTCGTCATAGCTAAAATAGCTAGCACACGCATAGTAATTAGTTCTGATAAAACTAAACTATATACTGATATCACTGACTCATCAATATGCTAAAATTTAAGCACGTACTGACTATGGTCGTACATGAAATTGCGCATGCTTTAAGTGGCTTAAAAATATTTTAGCGATATACAAATCGCGAGTACAGGAATAATTAGTCTTTGTTCACTGTCAGGTAGGAAAAAGAAAGTAAGCAATATTCGTCTATAAAAGAAATACAGTGCGATCAGTCTTGTCTTTCGCAAGTTTGCCTCTATTTTGGTTAACTCTCGAACATCTTAGTGGTGCCACATTTAAATGTTCTTGCAACTAAAGAAACTAAAAAACCTGTAATCTTTTTCTCGAAAAATAAGGATCGTTTGAGAGTCTAAATGCGTGTGCATCTACTGTTGATTTTGTTCTTCGCTAGCACTGTCCTAACGCAAAATCCTAGAAATAGAAGAGATACTGATCTGGTACGTGTATTCTTTGTATCATTATGAACTCTTTTAAATTACGTTAATTGTTTATAACTATTGTTGCTAATATATTTAATTCTAAAAATAAAAGTAATTTTCCGCTAGTAACCGATAGCGAATACTTATAGATATGCGCGCGCGCGTATATACAATAAAATACTCTATAATAATGTTATCGTCTTTTTATTACTTTAAAAAACTTTTCTTAAAGTAGCCGTGTAAGTTTATTTTTACTTTTGGAATACTGCACAACAAAAAACATTTTGTACTTGTGTTAAAACTGGTTCTCGTCAAAATTTTTGTATTAATTCCAACACATCTATGTATTAATTTAATATGATATATATTAGTTAAATATTTTGTGTCAAATTGATATTTAACATTTCTTTGTATGAAAATAACACAATTTACGAGTAAGCAAATAATATAAAAGTAATCTAGTTTAAAAATAATGTATTTTAAAACAAAAATCTTAAAATACTTGACTAAAAAATATACATTTATATATTATAGTATAAATGTTGATTTTATTGAAAAAGTATATTTCCTCTGAACAGAAAAATATTTTTTATTAACTTTTCTTATTAACTCTTTTACATAATGTTTTCGTTTTTTTTTCTAATAATTATCTATATCTACATATAATAATCGTCTTTTATATTAAATTAAGATAAGAACCATTTTTGAAACACGTAAAATATATTTGTAGCCTTGAATGTGTGTGCATGTAAATATTATTTTTTATATTTTTTAAATTTTAATCTTTATTACATTAACTAAATTTACTGTTATAAAACAAAAATATTTATTTAATTTTCTTTTACAATACTGTAAGCATTAAAATATGTTATGCAATTTATGTTTAAAATACTCACTTATCGATTAGCTCAAGTTATTTTACATACCTTCTTGATTTTACATTCAAGAATTCCGTGTAAGTAAAGTTTTTTCTTACATATTCTCATCGGTATATATATCTAATTCTTTCACAGACTACATTGAAACTTCCTATCATTACTACAACTGAAGCTTATAATGAAAAAACAACAACGGACGTTACGGGAGATAATAGTGATGGAATTAATTGTGGAAATAATATTTTCTGTCATCCATTAAAAACCATACTGAACGTTATTAAATCAATAATATTAGCCACTAACAATGCATTATTGACATTTTTAAAAGCATTGAATTCAACGAGTGACTTAGCGCTACGCGCTATGATGCAACCGGTAGGCGTAATGTTACATACATTTAAAATATCAATACATATATGAATAATTAAAAGTTTCTGTTTATATGCAGTTTGTGATAATATTAAGGATGGGACTCAAAATCTTGAGATGGTTATTGCAATTTCTTAATTAAAAAATGTAGCATTATATAAATCTTTTTCAAATTGAGGTAAGTAATTCGCGAATACATATAACTCATTATATATAAATGCCTCTTTTGACATGCCTAGTGTAGCATTTATCTTTATTAATTCATTCTTTTTGGTTAAATCATAAAGTAAAAATGGAACTGAATATAAATGGCCTTTTTATTACATATAAATACTTCCTTTATTGTTAATAATAATTTGTTCAATACACATAGTACATAACTATCATCTTACTATCTCGATTTTGCATTGTACAGTCTTTAACATTGTTTTTAACTTATGATCAATTGATTGCTTCATCGATATCAATAACGTATGAGAATAACGATCATTTTTAATTTACTAAATTAATATATTTATCTATATTTATATATATATATTGAATACAAAAATCTTAGCAAAGTATTCATGCTTATGACATTGAAGATAATTCGATCTACAATCTCTATTGAGTACTTGGAACTAAATCACATAATCATGCACGCTATCAATCTAACTGTTCTCGATTGTTAACGTTGAGAATCAATATGACATACAATTACTGTAAAACAGAGATTTTACAATTATTATAAAATAGCGATGAATTACTTCATGTAAATGAATATTGAGTATATAACAATTAGAATACTCCATGAAAGTAGGATGAGCTTGCTCCACTAGAAAATTACAATTTAATTATCGATTGTCTGCAGCCTCGATATACAATTTGTTCTCATATTTAAATCAATTTTTTCATCTGTCAAATTTTACCTACACAATCAATAAATTTTTATCTATCTATACACGTTAAAATGATTGACAAGTTATACATTTTTTGCGCTTTCTCTTAGAATAGTTAGAAATATAAATAACTATCAGCTGACAAAGTTGGACTATCATTAGAAGTCGCGATATCAATCACTGGAAATTACAAGAAGCGTTATCAAGATCCAGACTAAGAAGGAAGTCCATCCATTGAATACCTATCATATTTTTTGGTACACAGCGAAAATTTTTTGGTCAACTATACATCAACGTACTTTTATCTACTTAAATTGTCTGTAAATGTATTTATAAAGTAATGTTCAATAATCATCGATAACTTAATCATTTCGTTTTTTTCATCTGATCATTTTGATCTTTCTTAACAAATTTTGTCTCACTCATTCATATTCCTCTAATATGAATTTGCAAATTCGGATGAAATCGGTGAGGTCCTCTTTAAGAGTCCTCAGGAAAGGAGCGATACGATTCCGAAAAGATTCGTTCCTGTTGCATGCAACAGAAGTCGAAAACGCGCAAGGAGAGTTCTATCGATCTTAGACAGTTGTCTCGTCTAAGATCGATCTGAAATTCTAGGTATTGGTAGTGTCGTAACTCTTGTACGTGTGAGATGATCTCTTATGCCTGACTGTGCAGAAGAGAATCATGCTGGCCACCTGACCGAATAGCTGGAGAAAGGCTACGACGAGCCCCACCGTGCCCACTACGTGGAGTCTGGTTATCAGCCACATTTGAATGGCAGTCGCACATCCTTCCTTGAACCAGAGTTCCTTATTACGACCTTCCGAATCTAGGCGACCGCAGTACCGTTCTCGATACATGCAGCAAGAATCCGGCACTCGATCCTCCTCTGGCCATGCTTCAATTTGGAACCAATCCGTGTAATCGCGTACACCGCAGCAATGAAACTGCAAGCATACATTTAAAATTGTATTATCATATTAATAAGCGTTTACTTACATAAGACTTATTCTTTGTCGCTGCACTAAACTGCACTAAAACTACCTCTCTTACTTTTATCAAATGTTAAATATGTATCTGTTTTGTTTTACGTGCAACCATATAGTAGTTCAGTATATATACTAGTTCAGCCACGAAAAAAACAACCAAATCTTAATATCCTGTGCAATGTGGAGCAGTTGATCTTTAACTACGTAAAAAAGTTTCTTTGAACTAAATTAATGAAACACAGAAATCTGTACAATTCGTATTTTACAGATATTATTGAAATAATTAAACAAACCTCGGTATGTATATGGTCCCACATGGCAGAAAGTGTTCCCGGCTCCCTCGTGATATTGTAATGCTTCTCAATGCCGTACAATAGCTCCTCCTTCAAGCTCCTCGCGAGATGTTCTCTGAACACGAACGCCAAGGTGCCCAGCATGAACTCGGCGAGAAACATGAGTATTACCAGACTGAAATACTATAAAAATTACGGAATGTATGAACGTTTTCTCTTCCTATTATTAGTTACATAGGGCATCTCTTTACGATTTTCCAGATTTTTGAAAACCTTCTAATTATTTTAACACTTAATTACTTCTTTCACCAAGAGAAAACAAGTATTAAATTGCTCGGGGGAAAAAGATTTCGTATTGTGTATAATTACTACTGTACACGCAAAGTCTCATATAATATGCAAACGAATTTATCGATCCGTCATGTATTGCGTCACATACTACACGAATTCCATACGTATATAAACTAAGTAATAATAAAGAGAATAATTTGTTTCGCTTATTAGCAGACAGATTTGTTTTAACGGCAGCTAAGGATGAACAAAACAAACGAGGAGAAACAACGATTTTATGAAAATGTAGTTAACATGGACAACATGCGTTTTGCTGTGTGACAAATTATTCAAATGACAACAGAAATTCAAATCACGATCTACTGACGACGAAGATATTCAAGATTGTTAAGTTATCAACTTCAGTACGTGCGCCGCATACTTATGTATAGTCACTGCGTGCGTATCACTAAAAGTCCGTATAGTATACGCATACTGTGCCACGAGAGCTTTTTGCACGTGTGTTTTACAATGGATCACGTTGTACCAACCGTGATCAGCATGCATCTTGACTGGAACCACGCGCCGCAGCATCCGAAGAAGGCAATGACGAATGTGACGCATCCCGCGGCGAGTAGCAGCGAATCCGCCGACACGAAGCTGTACTGTGGTACCAAGGTCGCGTATCCGGAGTAAGCCAGTCGCAGCCAAAGGCCCGCACCCAAAATTCCGCAAGCGCATAACTGTAAAACAAATTACGCGCGTCAATTGCTCCGCTCGTCATAAACGTTTGACTTTCGACGAACGTACTTAAAACTGAATCCATTGAAGTCGAAATTGTAGTACACCATATATAGATACACATATACAGATACAGGATGGAAAATACGTGATGTAGTCGAGAAGAGGGTGATTCTATGATTTAAATTTAAAATAATAAGGAAAATAAATAAATAATTTTTTTTTTTAATAAGATCTCTTTTTAGAAAAAATCTGAATCTGTTTGTTCTTTACACTGATGAAATATTTAGGCCGAGTTGTTCCACCTTTCGGTAAACTTCAATTCACTCTGTCTTGCTTTCTTACTCTCTTATGTTCTTACTCTTTTAATCTTTTGTTTATCCGATAGATAAATTTCCACATAGTTTATTTGAAGATATTATATAATAGAATAATAAGCCAGTATTTTTACATTTTCTTTATTTTCATAGAAATTTGTTTACTTGGTTATTTCAGTGAGAAATTGGTACTTCAAGTGTTAAAGAAAAAATTATTCTTTTAAAAAATGAAAAAGACAAACTGTATTACATACAATTCATTTTAATTAAATTCATAGAGCTTTCAACTTTCTGTACAACAAAATGACAAATCATTTCAACAATATCGCAATTAAGTAAGAATAAAAGTTATAAAAAATAAAATTATACTTTGTCTCAAACAAATTCACTCATTTATCTTAAAAATGGATCAATTGAATTAATTAAACCTAATAGTAAAAAATTAAATTGTGACAAAAATCGTTACGTAAAATATCATTCAAATACACATGTTCGTAACTTTCAAGTTCTTTTTTTCAAAACCAGGAGCTATGCAAAAAAAATTATTCTATCATTTTGATTTATTTTAAACCGAATCAACTTCTTTCCAGTTATATCGTATATTCTTTTTCCTGTATAGCATGATTGTACATAGACTGTCATGGACAAATGATTATATTGAATATTTCAAAATCGCTGAACTTTCTTTCAGTCACAGCTTTCACGATCTTTATTGTAAAAATATTCTGATTCAATCAAGAAATCTGCAACGAAAGCGATATTTTTGGAATATTCTGTTTGTAACGTAATTTAAAAGAATATATCTATCACAATTTATCCTAATAATTATAACAAACTGTCCCATGTAAAATTGACATGTAAAACAAACGAATATAAATTGTTACAAGTGCTTTTAATATCTTTATTAATGTAAAATAAATAAATTACAACTTCAACAAATATTTTTAATAGATGTTCAGCTTTAATAAAAATGTTTGCAATATCCATCCGATTTATAAGTTAGTTATCAAAAGTTATCACATAAAAGAAGCGTAACTAGCCTCAGTCTCCTCTATTAAAAGATCTAAAAAATTATAATTAAAAGCATATCGAGAGATCCTTATCACACGCCACTCACAGCACATGAGTTCACTAGGTCAATGACGCGTTATTTTAATTCGACTGTCGCCGACAATGTACGCTCGACAACAAAGCTACCTCGATTATGCAGCGTTTAAGTAAAATCGGAAAGTGGAAAGTGGACCATGGATTAGAAAGTATCGCGATGCATTTCGAATTGTCGACATGGAAGGAAGATGGATGCCTATGGTTGACAACCGTCGCGAAATTTATTTAACTCACGGTCAATGCGCCAACAACCATGTGACGAGTGAATGGCAAAATCACACGCTGACATTTCTCGCATTCGCGACAAAAATTAAAATAACAACGAAACTGCATAATGCTATTTCCCTAAGCAACAAAGTGTATCGGATGTCGATGCGGTCACCCGTGTACATTTAACGGTTTATCGTCCACCTGCTAACTTATTCACAAACACAGAGACTTATCCAGCCTATGTCTAGCAAAAGAGTACTGCAGATTTTCTAGGTAAGTCGGCGATTACCTTGCCGCGCTATTAATGACAGGAAGTCGACTGAGCGACCAGGTGAATGTTGACCTTACGGTTAATTCACCCTCTAGAGTGCAATATATACGGCACGCGATAGCGACGTCCTTCCTTATCAAATTCAACTGTACATAAATGATGAGACCAGCGTGTTTACGCGCAGCTAGCTAACATCTGCGGAAGAACCGCAATGTAATTTATAAATTACAACTTGTGGTGCGACGCAGCATGATTGGGAAATTAATGCACTGTTACGCGACCCCGATAGCTAATTGTACAAAAGAACGCGTCCGTACTTTCTAATTACCGTCAATGATGCGTGCGCGAAAACAGGACGTTTTTGCAACAGCGTTACATAATCTGTAATATATGTGTCGTTGACCACCAAATATTTGATTTGTATCGTCAAAATATTTATTATTAAAATGTAAAATAATTTAATAGAGAGAGTATAAATAGTATAATACAAGTGTAATTATAATAAATAATTTAATATAACTTTTATATAATTTTTATATAACTTATCTGTATCCTCAAGAACTTTTGAGTTTGAAATAATAACTAACAAATCTAATGAACTCCAGACTGTCTTACCCAGTTTGGAATTTGCGTAATCGGAATGAATTGTGATTGATATCAGAATGAAATAAGAGTGACAACAGGTGACGCATTTCACAGCATTAATAGACACATAAAGCCACGTGTACCAGTTTTACAGCATACAGAGCAATCGGTATCGCGCTTATACTGTTGGCTTACGGGTACCGTAAGTTCATAGCTCATAGAGTACGGTTCAACGTCCTATTTAAGGCTTTCATCGCGATACAGACGCGGGCGGACGATTTCAAGTGGAATAATAAAGCCGGGGGAACAGCGAATGCGGCGGAATGCGGCGCGAATTACAAAAGCGCGTCGTTGGTTTAATCACCGACCCGCGTGGGTCGTTAATAGCCGCCGGCTATTGTCTCATTTCTGTCATTTCTGACCAATTGGAGTCGCGCATTTGCACTGTATACGCGTGTACACGCGTGTTTACGAATTATGCGCAGCAACGAAAGGTTTCATTTAAGTTGAAAAGTTCTCACACATATCTTTCCAACGCAAACGAGTTGTTTAAATATAGTTCAAGTGCCACTCTCGAATAATTCGCAAAACAAATCGATCTTAAAATAAGTAATTGAAACCAAAAGCTGCTGTATCTAAAAATAAAAAATTTGTTAAAACCTTTGAATTTTGTTCGCTTTTTGATTTTTAACGAATTTAAACGAATTGAACATTATAAAAATATGTTTAAATAATATAACTTATAAAATAAAAAAAATGTCTTGCAAAAGAAATTAAGTCCCAAATTCCTACTGTTGCAAATGCAATTATATTCATCAGTCGTACTTAATAAAAATAGACACTTTTCAAATGCAGCTAAAATGCATTCTGTTTTAATTAATAAATAAAAATTTCATTTTTCACATATCATATCATATATGCTTTTTTAATTGAATTAATAAATATTTCTTAATTAAAAGAAAGATCTTATTAATATAGTTCGAATGATAAACATTATACTAATTTTTCCACTCTCGCTAAAAAAATTTTAAGTGAAGACTTTTGCCAATAATGACTTCCTGTCAATGGGCTATTTAAGTAAAATTTATAAATAAAAGATAAAGTTCCCAGTCGCATGCGCATTTAAGTCACTTCTGTTTAAAAAAATGTATAATAATTATGTCTTATATGGTCAAACTACAGTATTAAGAATAATTGATTTAAAAAAGCCATCTTTACGTACCCAGATTAAAACGTTGACGGAGCAGAAAACATGCCTGATACACGTGTATCCTGTGCGGCCCATGATTCGATCCTTCATCAGGTCCTTACTCCAAAGGGACTGGCAACGTTTCCTGGAAACGTAGAAATAGCAACGTGATCCCTTTGGACAAAGCTAGCAGATGGATAGAAAATATATTCTTTGGCTACGTGAAAACTCTTGAGATTAGCACCGTATCGCGAACTGACGTGAGACAACGATGCCTGTTCAAGGTTACGGAACTGTCTCGGCGATTGTTTACGAGTGTTAATTACGCCGGCTCAATCAGCAACTTTCGTCTTTAGTATGCTGTATGAACACGCGGAGAACTAAAACCAAAGTCTACACTCTTCTTTACATCACAAAAATATCATTGTGATAATTATATATCACCGATAAGAAACCCACCGTGCGCATCAGCGCGAGAGCCTCGTGATGCGCATCACGGATCACCAGGAAATACTACATCCACGCTTGAAGAGCAACCTGAGGTAGACAGGACGTGGGAGGAAGGGGAAGAAAGCCGCGTGACACGAGAGAGAGAAATGAAGTGGAGGAACGGGGGATGAGGGGTGCGAGGAGCAGATGAAGGGGGAGGAGGAGAACAAGAAGATCGACGTGCGACCTACGCGAGCGAAGATCCCGCTCTCGGACGCACCGCCGTCAAGGAAGATCTGTAGGATTGTGCCGGCTGACTGAATGCAGACCGACCCGACCAGACAGTCCTTGTCAGACGAAGACCAGTGCCGATGTGTCTGAGAACTGGCCGATACGATTGGCTCCGGTCTGGTCTCCTCTCTGAGCCTTCTAGGTCTGTTAACGGGACAACCGCGGCGAAGCCGTTCACCCATACGCGATCGCGTATCATGTAGATCGTAGATGGAAAGAGGAGTGGAAGTGACACTTACAGAGGATATTGCTCATCGAACGTCACTTTTCCCGTAGGCAATCGTACAATGGAGTAGCGAAAAAAGAAAAAGGCATCTTCAAGGCCACTATACGAGATGTCCAGTCTCGTTCTCCCGTTATTCCCTTCACATCTCGCACATTTATGCCGCTGCTCTTCGTTAACCTTTCGCATACAGATTGAGGTCTCTTACGTGTACACACACACACACACACACACACACACACACACACACACACACACACACACACACACACAACACACACACACAAATACACACACACACATAAAACGGGCAAAACGCTAAGGTGCAAAGGTGAAGGTAACTTTCGCCGAAAGGTCTCGTATATAAAAATCCGCTTTCCCAGAAACTCGTGTTCAGGCGTATAGTAACTACATCACTTCAAGCAATTTCCCACGGTGTACCACTTCCTTTTGATTTCAAAGATAAAATCAGATTATCTACAACGATAATTTTATACACAGAAAGAATGATTTTATTAAAGTTTATAAGAATTAAATCAGACATAAGTCTGAAAATAATTATGTTAGATTATTAAAATAATTATGTTAATACACTCAAAGAAAGAGATTTGTACCAATTATAAAACTGACAATTTACATAATTAAATAGACTATTTTATAATGACATATTTATCTTTATACAAAGGTTATTTCAGTAGTATTGTAGAAACATTGTAACGTTTTAATAGTATTACGACAATATTGCAAACGTTGCAGCAATGCTGCTGCAAGCTTCTGTGCTTATGGATAATTATCAGCTATATTTTTCTCTGAGTAGGAAGTTCAAGCATAAAGATAATGCTGTAAATAGTTTTGACATTCTAACAGTCTAACTTAAGCATAATTATTCTGTCCGTAATTATTTTCAAATCTATATGTGACTAAATTTTTTTAAACATTTCAGCAAAATCATTCTTTTTATATAGACCGTTCAAAAATTATAAACGTATATATCTTTTCAACATTAAATTTACATTAATTTTTCTTTCATATAATTTTCTCAGGTAAAATAACTTTTTAATATGCCGATGAAAAACGTGAACTGCATTAAAGATCGAATCACGTAACCCCACCTAGTTCGTGAGATGTATAACATGTATCAGCGCATCGGAAATTCAAATTACAGCGACCGGTCCATGTGAATTTCCTACGTTAAGTCATCGTGATAGCTATGCAAATAATATTGATCGGATAATACACGACGAAAGAAACCGTTGCATAAAGAACATCCTCACAATATTTCTCACATCAGCGGACACTATCATCTACGGTCTCACATTATTATAATACTTTCGATCCAACGATTGTTTTCGTCAGTTGGGATGTATACATTGTAATTAGCATATAATTAATGGGACGCGATCAATTTCACTGAATTATTAAATTCTCTCATATACCCTTAGGAAGAGAACGAAATGAAAAAAATAAGGTTATTTGAAACCACAATTACTAAAAAATATATTTCAAGTACTTAATCAAAACGATGATAAAATCTTTATGCTTATTTTATAAAGAGCTTCCATAATTTCAACAAAATCTATTAAAACGTTAATGATAAATAGGTATCCATTGAATAAATTTAAATAAATGTTTACCTGACAAAACGCATAATTAAATGGAAATTCAAAGATATCAACAGTTTTTAATTCTCAATGTTAGTAACAAAAATAAAATATTGTTACACACTCGCACACCGCACCGGCATAATTAGCACGAATAATTTTTCAGTGTCCTTGGAAACTTCGTATGTCTAAAGCAGTGATCCGTGTTACGGATATCGACACTTTCCAACGGAAAAAAAAAAACACAGACACACAGGTACTGGGTTGAAGCAGTCAACGGAAAATCTCTTATCAGCTCATTGCATGATTAATGCGTTCTCTCCCTACTTGCCGCAACGAGGACCGTTATCAGAATTGAATAATATTGATTCGCCTTATCAAGAGTTACGCACGCTCTCACGCAGAACTCCACCCGCTGTGTTATATTCGTGCCACTTGTCGTGGACGACCTTCCATTAAATAAGAACGCGCGAGGAAAAAAAAAAACGCGAGCGAATAAAGTAAAAAGCGAGTGAATTGAGAGAAGAACGGAAGAGAGATCTGATGAAAAAATAGAATATTCGATCATTGATGTGTATTTAATTCGCAAAAGACGCTCGTGGACTTCACCTTGCTGCGGTCACGTCTTTTCCAGCCCTCGGCAGCATCAAGCGTTAAGAACACGGTGACATTTATAGCGCATACTGGAAGAAAGAAAATCCCCACCGTGTGTGCGTTTCAATATGAGTTTTATTTATACACTTCGATGTATGTGCTCTTATTTTTATCTGAAGTAGCTTGTTACATTATCATAAAAATTCCGATATCCGTATGACATCAAGTTGCTTTATCATCATAATATTTTATGTTAACATTATTGGAAGTACTTTAAAACATAAAGAGCTCAACCTTCCTTTCTATTTTAAAGAAAAAAGTATGTAAGTAAAGTAGAAAGAAAAAAGTATTTAATAATTGACATAATATTTATTATTTAATACATAATTCATATAGAAATATTATATTAAGCATCAAGGTTCAGCTTCAATCATATTTAGCGCTTTTTAATTTATCCATGGAAAGAACGATTTTATTGAAGTATCTAAAGATTTACTAAAGATTTTATAAATACACAGATCTAAAAGTAATTTATTTAAATTATTTTGATGATCTTACAAAATTATTTTTAAATCTGTAATGATCAAATTTTTAAATACAATAAAAAAAACTATTCTCTCTATGAATATCTTATTCATATATAAGCGCGATCTCATTTAACTTATTATTATCTTATATTATTTAAAAGAAAGTAAGAAATTTACATAAAAGACATTAGTTTAAAAGAGTCTAAGTATTCATTATTGTTTTACTTAAACACAATCAAAAACGATGTTTCGAAGAGGTGCGTGCATGTGTTGTATGCAGAGATTAATCAACATCGAGATCAATTTTCACGGACGAAATGGAAGGCTGCGCGAAAATAATGTGCATTTAGAGTGCGAAGGGGCGCACAAACGGTCCCCCTGCCTCGACTTCCTGCCAATTGCGGACAATTTGTGATCATCTATGATCTCCCCACTCACCGACGCCCGTCGTCGTCGCGTGAAACGCGTGTGGACGTGGTGCCTAAATGTAAAAGTTAACACGGCCTGGTTCTCTCTGCAGGTCCCGGTCATCTCTTTCACCGTTTCATGTGCCATACGATCGCGTTGACGCATCCTACACGCTCATCTTCCCACGTGATGTAATCGAGAGGAAAGAAGCTCGCACGCTTGTCTCACACGTTATCAATCTTCCGGTAGTCACATACGTGTACGGAATGCACGATTGTTCTCTTTTGTCAAAAGTATCTCGCTAAGCTGTAATTGGCAGCTTTACATATTAATCTTTTGTTCCCGTCAAAAATATTTCAAATTGTTATATAGAAAGAGTTTTACTAAAGCATCTAGAAATTTAGCTAAACACGATATAATATGAAATAATTTAAAATAGCTAGATACAAAATGATTTAGCTAAATACACACAAATCGGAAAATAATTTTGTTAGACCATCAAAATAATTACTTGAACGTTCCAGCTAATTGATAAAATGTCAAAACTTTTTACAGTATTGCTCATCATACTTGAGCGTACAATTATTTTAATAGCTCAACAAAATTATTTTCAGGTCTGTATTTAGATAAATTTTTAATAATACAGTCAAAACTTTTAGATTATTATTTCATTTTATCAGTATATTATATTAATTACAACATATATATATATATATATATATATATATATACATTATTAGGATTTACAAGATTCATTAGTTACTCCGTGCAAAATAGTTGCATAAGTTCGAACGGTTACATGTTGAGAATGTGATTTGCAAAAGCCATAATTATGTTAGAGCGGGAAGAATATCGGGCGTAACGAGCTCGTTGAAGAGAGTTCTCGTGTAATGGAGTGTGAGCTATACAGTATCATACTTATTACGACGATCTTTAATTTCCTGCTGCAATCGACGAATAAAAGAATCACGATTACATAAAGATTACTGCAAAGTATTATGTATGATAAATAATCACTGTAATCGTAAAATGATATGTCGAGGCATGCGTATCCTTTGTCGCATAAAGCCGCGTACAAATACGAATTCAGTCAGTTTAATTCTTCTCGACCCTTCTCACGCATACGTGATCAGCTTTTTAAACACGGTATTAAGAAAGTTTTATTTTGACCGCAAATCCGTCATTGAAATTCTTGCGTCGTGCTTCCAACGTTTGTGTATTGTCCCCTTTCTCGAAAATAATGTTCTTCTAAATATGTATAATTATGTTTAAAAAATATAAAAAAAAAAAATTAATATATCTTTCACTAAACATTAATAAATTAAAAGATATACGCAATATAAAAGTTTTACTCGAATTCTACATATTTAATAATAATTTTGTACACGATATTATTACACAAATTTTACATTTAAGCAAAATAAAATGTTAAAAAATTATTATACAATGTTATTTAAATTCTTATTGAAAGATATTGTTACAATATTAAAAATAATCATATTGCAAATGGGTTTATACTTAAGAAAATCTATAGACCAAAATAAAACATATTCAATTTGAATAGTTGTAATTTACGTGCTCAGAACGATTATATAATTTCAAAGAATTTTAAACGTTAATTTAGAGAAATCCATTTATAAAAGTTATTTCACGACGATTAATAATGTTCAACATGCTATTTATGATAAACCTAATAGAAAGCGAGCGAATGGCGTTAGAAAATTGTTAGAACAATTTTAGTACTCAAGATTGGAATGTGCACAATTTCTCACCAATTTATGAGGAAATGCAATAAACCAAGAAGAAACGATATCTTCGCCAAGGAAAGCACCGATTCATTGTTCTATTAAATGTTGGCGCATGGGAAGAGAAATCGACGAGCGACTTGTTCGCACGATCGATTTCCTGGCACTCGGAATAACCACGTGCGTTATCAGCATATTTTCTGGCTTAAACACGGAAAAGTGCTTGCGATTTAAAGTGGAAAACTGGTAAAAGAAAGCGACGTCCCGATTTTTTTAGATACATGAGAAAATTGTTAGACAATAAAACTTTCTCTCCATTGTGTCGAATGAAGAAAATAGATCTTGTTCTTGTAACCACTACGGATATTGTCGTAGATAAATTGTCTAATTTATGAAATTATGCATTAAAAGTCATAAAGAGTCACATATTTCAGTAAACTCGTATAATGGTCTCATGTCATTTCAGTCTCGCTGAAAACACTTTATTAATTCTTTTTGTCGAGGTCTAAATCATCTTGTCGAGACTGATAAGGCCATGAGATACACACGACAGTATTAATCCGACTACTAACATGATCATCTTCTAACACGATGAAGTAATGGGGAGGCGCAATCGAATATGACCTTCAATAGTAATATTTCAAAATAGTTCTAATTCATGCACAAAGTATATGCTTTGTATATTACAGTATATTAAATCTTTAAAAAATATATTAAAAAGTATTTCGAATCTATTTAGAATTGCTAAGTACTTTTTCTTAACTTGCCCAAATAAAATTTCCAATACTTTTTCTATACAACTTTTTTTCGCAAAGATTTAAAAAATTGTTTTTCAAATTTTTCAAATTTTATTATTGTATCCATATTTTTTTCATATTATTGCATTTAAATTAAAATTAAAAATAAAACTATATTAAAAACAAATTTTTTTAATTATCTTAAAAAATAAATGTTTTTATTTATTTTCTCTCTATATAGTCTTATTTTCCAGCCTCTCTTCTCGTTCAATCGTTAATTAGAGATGAAAAACGCTTCGATATATTACTTTAACAAAAAATTAAGTAGTCCCAATTCGGTCAAAGAATTCATAGCACAATCTGCTGAACATCTGTTGGTTTTAGATACCCGTTTACTATTACAGAGAGTGAAAAATGTAATAGAGAAAAAGTTACGCATTCGTGACTCTATTTTCATTGAAATGTAAAAAACCGCCGTTATCGATAATGCTAGTAATAGAACGTCTGAACATTGTCTAATCTAATATGCATGCAACATTTCTCGTGATGTAATCGCGTAATTTTACCCGCGTGTGCATTTACGCACCATACAGTTATCGTCAACTCGTTCGCGAACGCGACGCCGACCGTATCCAAGTTGTGTTTGTAAGCATAAATACGTGAGTTCATATGCTGAATCCGCGAAGCATTTCATAACTTCGTTTCGCCGGTCAAGTGGCAAGTGAATCACATTCGCTTTATTAAGCAAATTTTACATTTGAAAATCTAGTTTATCCATGTGGCTGTCATGACAGAGTATACTACACGGACAGAATGATTTGCTAAAGAATCTATACATAAAAATTTTAAAATACAGATTTAAACAAAATTATGTCAAACTATCAAAATATTAAAATCTATAAAATGCTCAAGCATGATGAGTAATGCTGCAAAAAGTTTTGACATTTAAAAAAATGTCTTATATCTGCGTATATTATTTTTCTAATAAATTTATTTTAAAATATAATTGACTAATTTTTTTAATTTTTTAGCAAAATCATTCTTTCTATGTACAAAGTATAATAACGCGTTATTATTTTACTGATGAAAATCCCGTAAATTGTTGCGATTTAAAATCCTTTAGAACTTAAAGTATCCTTTCTCTTTGAGCACATTTACTGTCAATTTTTATTCACTACTTCTTCCAACTTTTTAAGTCTGATGTCACTGCAGAATTATTTGTAATCATCCGTATTTACTTAAACAAAACTTACTATAGTATATGAAAAAATATTAAACAAATGTATTCTAAAAATATAAAGTTTACGAAAATATAGCGCATTTAACAAGCAGAAATTTAAAACGATGTGAGTAAAGCAGATGTTTTGTCAACATGCAAGTTTTTAGAAGTTATAAATCACTGGACACTCACAGGTGGAATAAAGATGCTCATTCGTATCGTTCTCTGTAGAGAGCCGTCGCGAACTCTTCGCCACCGAGTGGCTCACAAAAGTTCATGAAAAGCGCTATCAAAGGTCGATTCGCGTAGCTTCGCGGCAGCTTTCGAGTTCGCGGATCGACTGTGCGGTACCAGTCCGCAGCAACATCCGTTCTCCGTTCCTCCGAATTAGTACCAGGATCGCCATCTGACGGTTTGTGATATAAGTGACAAGACGGATTATCCGTAATGTTAATTACAAAAATCAATTTAAAAAAGTATGCAAGATGTTTTATAGTGAATGTGTAAAATTTCAACGGTTTGTTGATGAAGATCGTTATTTAAATAACAATTTAATGACCAAACAGTAGAATTTTATCAACATTTATTCTGCATTTTAACAAAATTAGGAACTTTAGTTGTTTAAGCGCGAGATAAATATTTTTAATTATGAAATGCCCTGTAATTATTCAAATTATTGTATTCATAAGATTATCAATATTATAATGATACAAAATATTTTTAGTGAAATTTATTATAAATTTAGTTCTTTCTAATTGTAAAGCAAATTAAGGAACATCTTTTAATAATATATCAATCTAAATTAAATTCTCTACTCGACAATGTACCATAATTAGTGCCAAGGTGTGTAATACATTTTTATCATTTCTAATTTAAAAATAATGTTCTGACTAAAATAATTAAAAAACAATGTTATATATCACAAAAAGATATAAAACTAAAACTAAATTATTATAATGGTGGAACACCTTTTGAGACTACATAAAAATGTATATGTATAGCAATATAACAAAGAATCAATCATAACGTAAAAACCGATCTAACAGAAAATTAAATAAATAACTTGTCAAACACAAAATACGCATTAAAAACAAAACATTTTCTTATTTCTGTTTCTTCAGATTTTTAGATGATTCTTCCATAGACTCCAACCATAATTGAAGCTCTTTGGTAGGCTCCGGCCTGCGTGTTTCCGGTTCGATCTCGGCAATTATTTCCTCTACCGGAACCTTCAAGCCAGTTATAGTTTGTCTGCTCAATATAACGGCGCGAATAAAATTGTCCGTGAGACTGATGAACTGGTTTTCTATATAAAAGTGTTTATCCTCCCAGTAAATGAGCTGCAATAAGGCAAATTGGAGCAACTTGATTATCGCGCGTAAAAAACAGAAGAGAAAAAGAAGAAGCAAAGTACATATATTGATCATACCTTTGTCGTGACCTTGTACGGTGTAAAGATAGGAATCGCACGACGATATCGTACTGTGGATGCACCTTGAACAGCACCGCCACCTTTTTTTACAATAGCACCGTAAATTCCTGATCTATCGTAAAAATAAAAACGCGCAAAATCCAACTCGCGCAAATATCGTGCATTATTCATATGCTTCAAGACCAAGTCAACATCTTGAGTGGTGCAAATTCCTAAAACAACAGAAATTTATTTGATGTTCCTATTATTATTATTATTATTATTATTATAACAGAACAGATTAAGTTTCCTGATAACCGAAGAGTTTTGGCTTCTCAGGTTTGATTGTTCTCAAAACTGAATATGAGACATTTTATATCAAATTGGACACCTTTAAAGCATCAAATTTTTTTCTTAGTTTGCTAATAGATTCTGCGTAGATAAAAATATAAAACACATGTTGGGATTTTTTTTGTGTAGTTACTTATACTTACAAATTGCAAACTTTCATAAAAAAGACGTTGTTTATGCAAACATTTAAATTATTATACCGAAATTATTAATCGATCGTATAAAAAATAAGCAAGAGATGTTTTATGGATGGGTTATGTTTAATTTATCATTTTTATATAAATAAATCATTTTTTATTTGTTTACAGTTTACATTAACATTTTTCATCATCAACTCACCAACTTGAAAATTTTATATTAGAACAATTTAATATCTTGAAAATCGAGCTTTTATTTGCACGACTAATGATTACAACAAAATAATAATTTGAATGTTCGCATGAGCGACGCTTTTTATGAGTTTCTGCAATTTACAAGCGTAAATAATTTTACAAAAAAATATCGAACATTTTTGCAGAACACGTCTTACATTGTTATTTGTAGAATGCCAGCAAATTAAAAGAAAAATAAAAAATAAAAATTACAATGTTTCTCTCTCAAAGGTGCTCAGTTTGATGTGGAATATCTCATTCTATACTTGTTTACATATGTCTAAATGTTGTATAAATATTTATCTTTTGAATATTTATATTTTTAATAGTTAATCACATTTATCTGATTTGCGCTCAACTTAAATAAATTTTACTTGAAGTGAAAAAAATTCTTACGTCTCATAACAGTCTTAAAAATTTTTTATATTTTATGCAGATTTCTAAAAGATAAATATCTTAAACTTCTTTAAATTTTACGAAATATTATGAGAAAAATTAGAAATCTGACATTCTTTTAGAACTTATGTATAAAGAATATGTTATAAAGAATTATCTTAAAAAAAGTAGACTCAGCATTTCTGGGAAACGTTCTAATTCGTACAAAAAACTTAAGAAATTAAAAAAAAAAATTATACACAAATATTTTGAAATTTATATTTATAAATATTCTTAAAAGTTACATGAAAAATTCTATAAAATGTTCTATCCAAAGGATAAAAGTTACATAAAGAAATAAACTCTTGGAGTTTGCAACAGTTATCACAAGAAGCAATCTATGTGTATGTAACTGTTAAAAGCATTTGTAAAAACGAATACGATGTTCCACAAAGTGAAGAAATATGCCGATGTACTAGTGTACTATTCTGTACAGTTATTTGCCGACCTACATAATGTAGCTAGATACGTTTACATGATAATGCAGCTGAATACATTTGAAAACATAAAAATATCATAAATAAATAAGTGTACATCAATTATAATAAATTATGAACATGTGGTGTGTCGAAAACAATTGTACACGAGGTTGTGTACGTAGTCTTTACAAAAGTTTGTATGTGTTTTTATTGTAAAATATTTAAAAACGCAAATCTTATTTTTTGATATGAGTAGCGCGCAAAAGTTTTTGGTAAGTGACATTTTGTACTCTAATTTACAAAAAAAGAAAAGCCTGATAAAAGTTTAATCATTATTGAATGTTAATACAAAATTTCGTTACCCACATCTTGCACTAACACTCGATTACAATGATTAAAATTTTATCCGGTTCTTTTTTATAAATTAGAGTACTAAATGTCATTTGCCGGAAACTTTTGCAAATCACTGTACATATATTATATAAGATATAATAATAATACTATGACCTTGCATGATCTACATTTTATTTTATGTACACTAAGCAAATTATTTTATTTTTCATAATCTTACTTCCTCATCACGCTTGTATTGATAACATAACAAATTTAGTTATTTTCATCTTACGCAATATTCTGTTCTTCCACTTATATTATTACTTTTTAATGTCTTTGCAATTAAAATGCCTCATCTAATCTGATAAGGCACATAAAGTTGTTGTACAGATTTCACACAAACAAATTAACAAAGACAAGCAATTTATTGAATGCACGATGTAATTTTAATCTAAAACAAGAATTTACCATAAATTGTTGTCGTATCGAAGAGTTTCTTCTTCTTCTCGAAAAGTCTGCCCCAAAAGATGGTGAGGATAATTCTCATAAAATAATTTACATCGAATAGAATGTAAAGGATGGCGATTATCGCCACGAAACAAGAACACAACATTGTCAGCTTTCTATCAGCGTATCTCTCGCTATCTGACAGCACGAAAATAACGTTGACTCGATGTAAGCCTTTTCACAGTCAACGGAAGACTGACTGTCGGCTTATGACTCTGACTTGTTGGTTGTCGGTGGTCTTCGAAAAACCGGTTTCATAAGCGTTAAAGAAAGACGCTTTAATATTCTGTTACGTCGATTGATCGAAAAATTACAGCCAAAATTAAAATTGAAAATTGGAAATTTGTAAATAAAAAAATGTTTAAATTCTTTATAATAAATATTCACGCATAACATATAAAATGTTTATCGTGTTGGAAAAATATTAATCACGTTGGATAAATCATTTTAATTTGTTTTTTCTCTGTTTATTTAAAATTTTAAATATATCTTTTAACGTATGTAAAGGCAATTCTAACAAATAAGGAAAACCTTTATATATTTTTGTTATATATACGATTTAAATTTTAATACCTTATTTTACTGACTAATCGTAAATCTTAAATAAATAAAGATCTAGTTGAGAAATTAAAAATAAAGTTTTACAATTTCATTCTTTACTTTCTATAAAATTTTGTTAATTTTTATCAAACGTTAGATAAGATGCAATAAAGAAAATTAACAGATATATAGGACGTTTCTTAAATAACATCCACTAATCATATAGTGCTATTTCTGATAAAAAAAACTGAGTCAAAAAGTCCTTTAATGGAATATTAATTTCTAAAGATTGCCGAATAAATGCAATCGATGCGTACAATAATTTTAAGATATCAGTGTTTAAGATATCAGTGTTAAGATATCAGTTTTTATGAGATATTTTAGAAATGTTTCTAAAAGAACTCTTAAAAGATATCTTGAAACTATCTTATAACAATTTCAGATATTTTGTTCACCAACAAAAAAAAGATATTACAAAAATTACAAAATGACAAAAGACTTTTCGACTAATTGTAAGTTGTTTATCAGGAATAGCACTATAGGATTTGTGGATGTTATTTAAAAAGTACTCAATATAAATGCATAGACTACCATCGGTGTTAATAAATCAGTGATCTTGTTAATCAGCGAATTATGCTTACGTATGCGCATATCCTATCAGTTACAAAACGAAGTTCAGTCATTATGTGTAAGCAAAAAGCTCAGTAGAATATCATGATTACTTTAGAAAAAATAAGATCAAAGGTACGTATTTATAGTTTATTATATAACGTATTTATAATAGATAGGTATATATTTCTTCCAATGTGTGAAGGCACCTAATATACTAGTTATAAATACACAGGCATTCATTATTACAGTAAATGTAAATATTTAGTTTATTATATTATATTTAATATTAATATTTGTTATATCCCTGCCGTATTGACAATCGACGTAGTTTGTAGAAAAAAATTTTAATGTATAACATGTAACAATATATTATTATAATTAATCAATAAAAATATAATTAAATAGCGTGAAAGAATCAACAGTCAGTAATATTTAAATGTAAAATATAGATATATAATAATAATCTTCGTTAGAAATCTTACAATGTTTAGGTGGTCTAACATTTAGATGTTCCTTATGGTCTAACAGTATAACTACATGTTTCGGTTTCTTGATCGAGCCATCTTCAAATTTTTTCAATAGATGTAAACCGCGGTGGACGAATAGAAAGGTAATTACCTATTGACTCTTTCACGCCATTTACTTATATTTTTATTTTTATTTATTAATAAGAGTCTTTATATATTTTTTTTAATCAGCTATATAGTTGCTAATAGCATATTAAAAGTGAGTATTCTATTTTTTTATATACAACAGTAATATTTCAGCGATAAATTAATGTACATAAAAAATCCAGAGATGGACACGTTATTTGCCATTCCTGGAAAAATATATCTTGTTTCTAATTTTGAGGTACTCTTCTCTTACTACAATGTAAAAATATTACATATATGCAGTTACACAACTTTCTTAATGTGCACTATATGTGCTATTTCAATTAATACTTTGACATTTTAAAACAATATTTTACATTAATTTTTTACGATCAAACGTAAATAATCCCAACCATAAACGCTAAATATTTCTAAGAAGTCCATAAAAGGTTCTTAAAAAGAGCATTCCAAGAATATTCCGAAATACTTATAGAATGTATAAACAACGTTCAAATATTAGTTAAAAATTCCATGTCCGTATATTTCATCTATATGTGCTTTCACCTTGGAGAACAATTTTGGAGCTCATCATTTTATTCACAGGCGAAATACTACGTACCTAAACCTTGATTTAATTATTTTAATGAAAGTAGATTTTTTTATTACTTTTTCTTTTTTGTTTGAATTAAATAAATATAGAATGCGGTTCATTATTTAAAATTTTTTTAAGAGTATAGGCAGGATTATTTATTTTATGGTTAATTTATGTCGCTCCACACACACACAGTTCTGATAATCTATGTGTCACATAAGTGGAAAGGTTGAAGGCACATTAATTCGCTATCCGGCGAAAAGTCACAAGAAAAACAATACTACACTTCTTATATTCTCTCCATGGTAATCATTATGTACGAATAAATGCTCTCCGTTGCGACCTTCTGTCGACAAAGATATCTATTGTTCGCTCGCTTACAATTTTTATCATAAGAAATGTTCAATATCTGAACATTTCATCAACATTTACAAATCAAGCATTCCGTGACGATTCAGTTTTCTTGTTTTAGAATATTCAGCACGTTGGAAAAATATGATTCGAACTTTTTATGAATATTTAGCGTTAGCTGGGAAATATTATTATACAGCTTTATTCAAAAATACTAGGCCTCTTATTAACCATTATTTAAAATTTTAACTTAATTAAACTTTATGACATTTGCTATTAAATTAAATTTTGTTTTAAGTATCCTTTAAATTTGTATATAATATCAGTAATTATATATAAATAAACAACACATATAAAAGAAGTCTAGATAAATAAAAAAAATTTAAATGCCTAATATTTTTTACCACAAAGCTGTATAATCATAAAATACAAAAGTAACAAATAATTATTATATTTTTCTTTAAAAAATTCTTTTAGAATTTACTTATACCTAATCATTTACTTTTATCTAAGAATTTGGCCAATCTATGTTTCTATAGAAATAGAAAAACATAGTCACCGTAATTATATTAATCATTCTTATCCTCGATTACAGAATACCAGGCTTATAGTAAGTCATTATTAATCATTTATTTTACTGTAAGGCCGCACTAAATTTCCGCTTCTCAAAGACAATTAAACACACACAAGTAGCGAGAATCTTTAATCGATCTTGTTATGGAATTTCCCTAGAACAACATCTATCATCCGGCAATTAAGAATAAAGATTGCATTCCGCTTGTTACACAGTCGTGGTTGTGTATATCGGTGCCAAAACGCCGCTGGATGTCGCGGCGTCCGTTTGTCAGCAACGCGTCGTTATTGTGATTGGTTCCTGTCTCAACATCGCTGATGATATCTCGTTACTTTCCATCCACCTACTCACTTCAGGTGGCATCTCTGGTCGCACAGGAGATACCTAATGATACATTATACTATTTAACTTAGAGAAATAAGAAGAAATGATCTCTCACTTTGCAATTTATTATATTAATTATTCTTATTCTCGATTATGGAATATCAGGCTTATAGAGTATTATTAATTATTTATTTTATCATAAAAAAACATGTTAAATTTCCAAAGACAATTAAACACGCAAGTAATTTATAACACATAATTTAAAAAATGATAAAAAATTATTTTTGAATTATTTTCGCAATTTTAAAAAATTAAAATTTTTCTAAAGCTTTTTTACATGTTGGTATATTGAGATAAGTTGCTTTGCAATTAATTAAAAAATTTTTATATCACGTATGTAGATTCTTAAATGCGCGCCGAAAATTTTTTTTCAGACTTACAACGCAAACTCTAATAAACTACCGCAGTACTATTACGAGTTAAATTGACTAACAATGTAACAATTTTGATGCTCATAGCATCTTATATCTTAATAATGTTGAATAACATATTAAAATCTATGAATGACATATTAAAAATCTGTAAATAATTAATTTATATTGCGAAAATTATTACGAAAATTATTATATCGGCCGAGAGTCAAACCCGAATCTCTGGTATGCTCGCAAACATTTTTCACACGGAACATTTTTCGCAATAAATTCACACGAAATTATATATTAAAAGCATCCAAGATCCAGCTTGACCATTACGGCATGTTCTCATCGATATTTGGTTTTAAACTCTCACGGTCCAATAAGATTTGATATCGTTTAGAATTTTTGCTCTGTTACTTATTAATTATAAATTATTGGACCAGATGCCACTTCAGTTCTATCAGCCTATGAGTGACTTAATCTCAATAACTGAGGAACTTAATTATGTAATTTGCTGTATTAATATTGCTAAAAAGGACTCCAAAATGAATCAAAACGTACAATCTTCAACCTGCATCAAGTTACGAAAAAATCTTCGTTTGAATGTTATAAAAAAATAAGTTGTAATATCATAACTTGTTATATCCGCGCCGTGCTTTGGCTCTACATAAATTTTTATTTATTACAAAATATTAATAAAAACTGCGTACAACTTTTTGTTATTAAAATATGTTATTATTAAAATATATGTTAAAACGTCATTTAATTTTTAATAACTGCTTTATTTTCTTTCACTTTTTATATTGCAAAATGGATTTAAAGTTTTTTTCCTTTCTTCTTAAAATTACACATGAGAAATCCAACTTTTATTTTAATTAATCAAAATACAGACATAAGCTGTTTTCAAAGTTTTTGTAAACGATCTACTTTATTATTTTATAATGAAATAGATATATAATAAAATTTATTTGGTGCATTGTAAAATATATATAGGAAATATAGTATATCTTTATAAAATAGTTTATAAAAAATTGCAAAAATTCGCCATATACTTTTAATTTTCAAAAATCAAATCTCTTTATACAAAAATAACATGTGTTATAAATTTTTGAATATAAGACATGAAAAACAGAGTTAACATAGTAACACAAAGTGTAAGTCTTATCAATATTACCAAAACCTTGTTAACCAATGTACGAGTAAGTGCTCATTACGTAACATTTTAATCAACATGTACGTTTTCTATTGTGATAAACAGTCTTGATAGCAATTAAATCATTTAAAATTCTTGCAGTTCTTCAAATATAAACATAATTGCAATTAGTTCCTACCTGCGTTACACCTGCTTCAATATTTCCATTATGCTTCACTCTACGATTCAATAGAGCACCAATGACAGTGTCGGCACTACAGTTTAGAAGTCTTTGTCTGCAAATCGCGATTGCTCTTATAAAACCATCGCTCGGCGTGATAAATCGATGCTCCATGAAAAAACTCCTCTCATCCCAATAAATAATCTGGAAGACAAAATTAACAAAATTATATATTACTTAAGATTGCGTATTCGCTCGCGCGCGATAGATCTGTTCTTTGCAGTTATATTTCTGATTATGAGATAAATTTAATTAAGAATATATGTATACATATACATATGTGTGTATGTATTAATTAACATCTTACTTTGATCGCGAAGCGCTTCTCGTATCGAGTTTACGTATAAATACTTTCGTATAAAACATAAAATGTGTAATGTGAATACCGGTAATGAAAATAGGGGTAATCCATATACGGGTAATGAAACACTACTGGAAAAAAAGAGATTGTTAGAAATGCTGACGTTATTGGGATGAAAGAGAGGCGTTTGTAAATCACATAAGCCCTTAGGCACAAATTTTTTTAATACGGCCCTGCCTGTATTTGCTTTGCGTAGATGTATACTGCCGCCATTCATGCATTTATTTATTTATCTTGATACATAGTTTGATGTCTGTTAAGGACATTAAGGACAAACATCTCCATAAGAAGAACCATCATAAGTTTCGAGACTATGCGTCATACGATCGCGTGGTGCATTGCAATTACGAAATCAAAATGGCATTTACTTTAGGATCACGAATGCCTTGAAAAAAAAAATAACTGACACGTCTATTGACGCGTTTGCTATTCGCATCCGGTATATGCAACGCCTCAATCCTCTTGTGGCAGATCAATGTAATGTGTGCGGCTAATACTTTGTACAAAAGATGCTATTCTCGAGAAAAACAATCTAAATTTGGCACAAGACGATTTTTCAAACGTCAATAACATGATAGTTATTTAAACGTTAACGATAAAAGCACATGCCTTTTAAATGTAGTTCTTTATATTAAAAAAATTCTTTAACTAATTATTATTGTAACAAGCATGCGTACTGCGAACTCTTTTAATGATTCGATGTTTTTTCCTGTGTTTACGTAAGTAAGTATTTTTCCTCTTTACCTGTGAAAAAAATGTTACATGTACTCAAATTCAATTTTCTTGAATTACCTTAGATGTTATTTTAAAGATCGTTAGCGGCTTGATGAAACGCCTATAACGTATAGTGGCAGCTCCTTGGACAACACCTGATCCTTGGGAACAAACTTCTCGGTAAAGATCGGTCCTCTCGTAAAAGTCAACCCTCGCAAAATCGAGCTCGCGAAGATACCTCGCGTTATTCATGTGATATAAAAGCGCGTCCACGTCGTTAGTAGTGCAAATGCCTGCAAATTAAGATATGCACTGCAATTCAATTTTATAACCTGATTTAAAAATCAGTCTATTACATTGCGAATCACGTAACTTCATTTGCTGCTCATGATTACAAAAGTTGAACAATTAAGATGTAGATACATGTTATGTAAACGTAACAACAACATGTTTATGTTATGTGATGCGACATAATTATAGCTTTGTATCACGATGAGTGCTACAAATATGAATTGTTAAATACAACATTAAAACCCAACGGTTAGAATGGTCACAATTCACATGCTTAAATGTACGTTGTATATTGAACATCGAACGTTTCTCACATTGAAAGGCAGGAAATTTAACTCTCCTTGATGTTTCATACATATTGAAACTGTGTATAAAATAACTATATTTCTGTACAATTGATCGAAATTAGACATTGTTACGTTACATAATAACATTATACAATGGAATACGATGATTTTAAGACATGGTTGATTTTAACTTCGGATGAAGTTAAAAGAATTAAGGACGCGTAACTGTGGCCGAGTACTTGCGTAGGTATGTATGTAGGTATATGCGACTAATCGGTTATGGCATTCGTTGAAAAGCTACATATGAATTGTATAAGCAACGTAAACGTAAATAAAATCAAATGCTAAGATTCATACAGAAACCATACATCATTCAAATGTAAAGTTCAATGCTTTATTTTAGATAGTTGTATCTTATTGTTAGATTTTATTTATTTTTTCACAAATCTTGATTTCGTTCTTTTTTTTAATAATACAAGTTAAAAAGAGAAAAACTCTACAGCAATAAAATCAATAAACAAAATTGCCAATCGAAGCCAAATACAAGGTAAACGTTGTGTAATTAAATTTTATTAATATAAAACGACAATTGCACATAGATGTTCCGATCTAATGTTTTGGATCCCCCTCAATATTAATAAACAAATTAGAATACAAAAATAGAGTTCAGTATAAAGTAATTGTCAAATAAAGTGTACATTAAAGAAAGCAACGCGACGAGATGTAGTATTGTGTAAAAAATTTTGTGATTTATTATGTTATGCACTGAATCAAAACTGTACGTAAATACAATAAAATATTCCTACAATTAATGAAAATTGGTCCAATGAATTCTTAGATTATAAAACTATTACTAGAATTTATTGCAAGAATGAATATATAATTATATAAATGAATTTAGTTATTGTATCAATGAATAATTGGACCTTAATTAACGTAAACAACATTATTAAGTTGAACATTAATTAATAATCATTCATTGGACCAAAATTTTTCTCAGTATGTCTGAATGCATTGAGTTTTATCTAACAGTAACTATTCTGTAGTTGATTGAAAAGTAACTTTTAGTAATTAAATTAGCGCAGATATTTTGACATTATTTTGATATTATGACAATTTGTGCTTTACTTGAAAATTATATTAAAAGTATGTACATGTATACTGCGTAAAAAAATTTCAGAAATCAATGCGCAAGTGCACGTAACTTCTGACAGTCACAAAGTGACTTTTCAATAAAGTTTATTTTTTTTTTAATAAAGTGACTCTTTAGAAATAAAGTTTTCAAATTAAAAAAAATTTGTAATTTTTTTTTTTTTTTTTAAGAAAATAAGGTCTTCGAAACTATCTGTTAAAAAGGTAAATTTAAAAAGAATTTTTCTCATAAGAAAGAAATTTGAGATTAATATTTTGCACCTAATATTCAAGCGCGTTATTACGCAATCAACGTTCTGGATTTGTGACATTTCAACCAACTGATTCCTTATATGATAAGTCAAGGTTAATATAACAGGGAGATAAACGAACGAAATCGTAAGGATTCCTAGATTATATATAGATCAACGATATATGTAACAACTCTTCAATGTAATTGTCTTTTAACATCTTGTTAATTAGTATTAAATGGTCGTTTAAAATTATTGATAGAACAACATTTCCTAGTGTATTTAATTTTATAGATGTTGTTAATTAAATTGTCGTGTTAAAATAGTCAAAATTGTAAAGATTATATCCAGGACTGTGTGCACATATTTAAAATACTTTTATTTAAAATGCAGTATTTGTTAATGTATTTTGTATTTCGTATTTCTCAGCAAAGCACATGAAAGTATTTTGTATTTTGTATTTAAAATCGGAAGATTGAAAATTTCTTGTATTTTGTAATTCAAATAATAAGATTATCAGTTTTAGTATTTGAATACAAGTATTTGAATAGTATTTGAAATACAAAATGCAAAATACTTTCAATCTCCTTCGTAATTATTAATAAAATACAAAATATAAAATATTTTTATATGCTTCCATGAAAAATATATAAAATATAAATTCTTTTTATGTGATTCACAAAAAATATAAAATACAATTGTCTTACAAATACTATTTTTCAAATGAAAGTATATATTTCAAATATATGCCCAACCCTGATTATATTATACGACAAAACGACGTGTATATGGTAACTCTTCTACTTAATCACCTTTTAATAATTCATTCATTAATATTACATTATCGTGGTTGCTTTTGGAAATTATTAAATGAATTAAATTATCTGTATATTCAATTTTGTAGACATATTGTTAATTATATCATTATGTTAAAATAATTAAAATTGTAAAAATTATTGTAATAACAAAATAATGTAATGGCTCTTCAACGTAATCACTTTTTAATACTTCGTTAATTAATGTTAAATCGCTGTGATATATGTTGGAATTTATTGATTGAACAAAATTACCTATACGTATCTAATTTTATAGACATGGTTAATTATAAGTATTATGTTAGAATAATCGTCAAAGTTGCAAGGATTTCATATATTTCGAATATAATATAAAAATATTGTTTTATGTTTTTGATATTATCATAATATCAATCAAATGTATATATATTTTCAAAAAAAATTCTTATTATCTTTAATAAAAAAATTACAACGTGAAAACCAGATAAATCTGTAATTAATTATTTTATGGTATTTACTATACATATAGTCGTTCACATTAAAGAATAAAATGAATTTTAATTAATAGCGTAATTTATGCTATGAGATTTTGCGATTAAATAAATATTTTCTAAACATAGTTTCCAAAAACTAATGCTAATGAGATGTTAATGGATTCTATCAATTAAAATTTAGAGTATACTTCTCACATACCGTAAATCACGGTTTCGTCAAGAATGTGCACCCTTTTTTTGCAGTAACGCGCAAGGAAGACGGTGATAAACATGCGTAGAAAATAATGAAATTCGATGAGGCCGTAAATGAGCACGATGGTTACGAAGACCCCGACCAGGACCCAACAAGTCATCATCATCCTCGCGTCGCGCGGTTGCCGCTCCACAAAAATCAATCCGGCGACAAGCCAGACGCTTTCCGGTCGGAGGTGGCTAGACTCTTGGATATCTTCCACCGCCGCAACACCACTCGCACCCGGTTTATCGATTTGTCTCGACGGTCGACAGCGTTCCTCGTCCCGTCAATAAGAACGCAGGTTGCGCTCGCACCATTTCGAAAGACCGCAAACGAGTTGCAGCGACGTCCACAGATTCATCTTAAAATGTTGAGTTATGATGTCATTCTAACGAGCCTTGTATTGACAAAAATTAAAATCTGGACTCAGACTTGATTTCCGGCGTCCGAGGGTCAGGTTTTTTGGACAGGTTTAACAATTATGAATGATTCATACTTCATACATTTCAGTCAAGACTAATAATATTTTCGTTCATAATCATATACTCTCGATTGTAGCGCGAATTTTATTACGGCATGCGTTGCAAATACTATAAATATTAAAATTGCAACTTGACACACACCGACGCTAAATAAATAATTTTATTGACAACTGACAGCTGACTATCAGATCTCTCCCATAAAATTCGTATTAAAATAAATTAATAAAATATAATGCCGACAACGTTAATAATTACTTAATAGAACAGTTTTGTTAATTAAAAAACTTCAAAGAGTGATAAAAATCAGCATAATGAGAAACAATGTTAGTCAGACATATCTATGAGTTGTGTTCACAGAGTGTGTTATCAGCACTATTGTATCTTATGTTATCTTTATCGTTTATTACATGTAAAACAAAGATAGAATGACGTGATAAGGCCAATAGTATACTCTCCCCAAAAGTAGCCTAACAAAAAGTTAATGATAAAATGAAAGAAAATAATCTGTGGATGCTTTATAGCCTTGTCTATTACGGTAAGAAAGCAGATGTAACATTGCACATATAATAGCATACTAGAACAGCTATCATTAAAAAGCCCAAATTTATTATACTCTACATTGATAGATATGCTGCATCTGTCTTATTGTATTGCTTTAACCTTGCCGATCTGAAGGTAAGCGAAAAACGCGAGCCGGAGAACCGGTTCCTACATTTTTTGCCCATGCACAATATACCTTTTCCACAAGAGACCTCCTGGGAACATCTCTAGGACGTAAGGATAATGCCCTTTGGATGTTTTTAGGAAATCTCTTGGAGGCCTATGCTATATGAGTATAAAATCTATTCGAATAAATGAAACTTTTTTTAATCCACCAATTATTAATTGTACTTACAACTCATTTGTTGTAAAATTGTAACATTATCGTAGAAAATTAAAAAAAATTTCTAAAAAATTTCTAGCCTTATAAAAGAGGCGACTCGTTCAAAATAATACATTAGTACATACAGCGTGTATGCGTAATGTTTACCTTGTTTAAATGGAGAAAGAAAATTAAATCGAACATGATTAGCGTCGGTATGCTAACCGATTGTTTCCACTGGCAAACGAATCGGCAAAAAATCGAACAAAATGAAGTAATAGACTTTTGCACCGCATAGAGCTCGCTTTCGATACTTTCGCGTTTACCGTCACATTATCAGGCGGGACACGTTCTCCCTGACCCATCGTGCCGCAATTGTATTGTTATCTTCCCAAAAATTTAGCGTCTACATACGAAATCCGTTTTTTTTTCTTTTTTATGTAATACGCACAATGTCACTTTCCTCGACGTGTCTTATTTGATTAACACTTACAAGATCTCCGATGAACCTTCGGTAAATTGTACGAAGAGTGCGCTGGTCCACCGATAAGATCTTCCGAAGACAAAGCCCGGTATCAAACAGAGGAATACGCGGAGTAAAGATTCGCACACCGGAACGCGCACATGTCCGGTGGTGAGGTCTTATCCTTCCGATGACATCTCATGCACTGATGCTTGACGTCCTCGACTGGCGGCCGTTGCCGGCACCGAGAGATGTCCCTTCCCAAAAGCCGCATCTGCGCCGAGGACATCCAACTAGGAAGTCCGGTTCTTCGGGTGGGAGGTTTACAGCGGCTCAGGAAACGTCATGGTTAACAAGTTTTAATATATGACTGATCCCATAAGCCATGAATAAAATAAAAAAGTTAAATCGAAGTCTTTAATTAAAAGGGGTGATATCATGCTGCCTGGATTTGCTCACCGATAATCGCGCCAATAATAATTACATACATAATATAAGGATTATAAAAAAATTAAACAAATATCATCAGAACATTCATGTTTTAATAATAGACTCATTGAATTTTCTATAAATATTTATGTTGTTTCAAATTCTCTTTAAAACTCCTGAGCACTCACTAAAGAACTTTAACAACGTTAAAAAAAACAAAATAAAAATTCTTGCAAAATATATTAAAATAAAAATGTTTTTAGTAAAACAATATTTGCATTTAATAGAAAAAGCTTGTGTAAAATATTCTGAAATAAAAGTTTTCTTTTACTTCAAAATAAAATAAAATCTATTTATTTATTTATTTCAATTAAACAGCATTCACATTAGCTTATTGTTTCTGATTGGTGTGATTCAATTTAAAATATGATTATATTTATTGATTATCGGAGTATAGAGTGTTTTTGGTACATTTTATAAACGTATTCTATATAAGTTATAAATATTTTATTTAAAAATATATATTTTAATATAATTTCTATTCACACCAAATATAAAAGCTGGAATTTTTATATTTTCTAATAAGTGGTAATACATTTTACAAGAATTTTTGTGTAATTTTTTTTTTATGTCAAAACCTGAAATATCATAGTAAGTAAATAAGCCTTAATTGATTTTCATGAATAAATGAATTTATGATTAAACTCATGTATTATATGGATAAAAAAATCGTTAAATTTTCTATTAAAAACAATTATTATATTAGTTTTATATACAATAAATTATTAAATTTATTATTTAAAAATTATATATATCTGTCAGCTATATTCATCGTTAACTTTAATGGCGCTTCTATGTCAATATCCTTAAAAAGTTCGATGTAGCAAGATTATCGCTATAGGCAATATTATCGATGAAATGCAAAGCTTTGCGGAATCGTTCGCCGTTCCTTGTTTGCCGAGGGAAGTGATGTTTGCATTGTTTCATAGTGAATGCGTTAATACTACAGAAGATAAGAAGATACGTTCTGAAATTGAATGTGGAGAACAATGGAATTACATGGCAGTAACATGTATATATATATATA